TCTGAAGGAATGGTTCCTGAGACGCAGCTGCATGTCGCTTTAATTCGCTTTAGTCGAGTCGGTTTGTTTGATTTGTTTATGTCAGCATCGTTGAAAACCACCTCCATTTTGTTGGCAGGTTGAGAGTTTGCCTACGTTGAAAACCAACGCAAGTGCAGCAAGTTGGAGCCTTATGCTTACTAAGCTTACAGTTTTGCCATTGTGATTTAATGCTTGTGCAATTTGATGGAACTCTGCTTTTTTTAACAGCAGCGACAGCGTTTGTTGTGACAGTCTCACATTTGTCACATCTGTCAGGTCTTTCTCATCCACTGGACCTGGACCTTCAATGGGACACCGAGTTCAGGCTGAGATTCATGTGGCAGCTACCCAGGGCTACCCAGGTGATGTGCAGGTGCCGGTGAAGTCACGCGCACAGGCTGAAGAAACTCCTTGCAAAGGCACATCCTCAGTGTCCTGGTCAGGCCATCGCCCTAGACATCGGACATCGGACATCATCGGACATCATCGGACCTTCAGCCCATTTCAAACATTTTCAAACCACTTTAGACCTCAGACTCCCAAGTGGCTAAAGCCTGCTGAAACCACAGAATCAGACAGAACACTTGACCAGGCTGGGTGGAAGATCTCTCGATTCAGCGGAAAGTGTACAGAGGACTCGAGTTCAGCCGGCATACTTCTGTACTACTGTACTGATCTCAGAAAGCTTAACTTGGACCAGAATGTCAAGACAGAGAATGCGACATAACGCAGCTAGGTCTCTTGCGTGGTTTGTTCGGGTAGTATTACAGCAATTGAGAGGACCAGCAGGACCAGCATCAGTAACGTCAGCAATAACATCTGCAATGACATCAGTAACATCGGCAGTCATCAGCGGCACCACCACTAGCAGTCGCCGATGCATTGGCATAGGCATTGTTTGAATGATTGTAGTCATGGTTGAAACTGTTGTGGGCACTTTGCTTGTTGTGACTGTTTTAGCTGGTCACTTAATGGTTGTTCTGATACAGATGCAGCTTGTCATTTTTCCAAATGTTCCTTTGCTGCCTTTCTTAATTGATCAAATTGCAGGAGCGCCTTGCAAATGCAAAGCCTACCGTCAATGCTCCAAAAAGCATATCACAGGTGTCTCAATTGAAGGCCCGTCAGAGATTGACTTGTGGCATGGTGGATTTGATTTTGGGGAGTCTGAGCCAGCAGTCAAGTGAAGCAATCAGCAAATCAGAATGATCAGAATGTAGAATGCTGATGAATGCTGTATTGTATTTTGTTCGCGCCAGCTTCCTGATCTTATTGCTGAGAATGCTACCAGCAACACGCTACCTGGCAGCGGAGTGTGAGCAATCGTATGCACAGCTCAAACGGATCCCAGACGAAAGCCAACGTCTGACTTCCAGGAGTGTGAAACAAATACAGTCTACTATAGTCTACTCTTAACAAGAAGAAAGGTTGGGATTGATGACAAAAGTTGATGCTACCGAATTCTGAATCTCTTGAGTCCAGTGTCAGTCATCGAGTGCCAAGGCTGCTTGTGGTCGTGTGTTTGGCTGCAGTTGCCTCAACTTTGAATCAATGCAGTACTGCCAGTACTGCCAGTACTGCAGCCTTCGAGTTCGGCGATGTCCAAGGCCTATGCGAAGGAGCAAAGCAACTATGCCACTAACTCAGAATCAGAACATAGCCACCTGCACCTCACTGAACAGAAGAAGTATGAAGAAACTCATGCATTTTGAATCATTTTGACATATCTTCATATCTTGAAATCATGACTCGTCAGACTCATCATATCTCATCATGTTTTCATTTGTATCTCAAGGCACGGTTATTGGCTGAGAAGGCCCATGCCGCACTATGGCACAAGTGTCCACCTTAAAGCCTAGATTCGGGAGTTACTCCTTGCTGCCTTGCTAAAGCCTTGCTATTTAAAACGCTTGCGCGTTTTGGTTTCCGACTGCCATTCTTTGCCAAATGTGACTGTTGGCTATTTTGTCACTGAAGGTTCTGCTCCAAAGGCAGTGGTCCTTTGCAGGATGCTGAGTCTTACAGGTTTGTTTTCCAGACACAGTGTCAGACACCTGTAGTAGCGCCTGTTGGATCCTGTTGACAGTCACCTGTACTCTTCCTTATGGAGTGACTACTCTAAGCTGGGGGACGAGGCCTGTAAAGCTGGTGGCTGTGGAGCTGTCTGAAGCCGGTGGATTCTCCGACCAGTGCCCAGCAGAAGATAATAGAAGTAAAAAGAACAGAATTGCCGAAGGCGACAGCCACGAAAACCAAGTAGATTATGCTGAATTCTGCGGTTCTGCTGTTCTTGGGAGCCAGGGCACAGAGATTCTGCTTGCCGTCTCTTGTGTGACAGGAACTCTTGATTACCAAATGAATCGCTGACGCTCTGCCAGGTACGGAGTCAAAGAGGTACCTTTCTGCATGATGTTCCTGGGTGGCCAGCAGGTTTATGCTAAGAGGTGCGCGGCCAACACAACTTCCTGCAATTTCCAGCATAGATGACCGATAATTGACTGTCACCCTCCAGGATCCACGGCATAAGAATGGCTCCGCGTGATGCAGCGGGAGCCAAGCCGAAGGCATTCTCGCTGCAAAAGCAGGGAGGGGAGCACCTTCAAAGCTGATTACTTGGTGATTATCAGCTTGTTCATTTTATTCTTGATTGAGTCCTCCAAACTTCGCAGGTCCTTCTTGTTGAAGAGAATCCAGCAATTCAATTGAAACTGGAACGGAGACTCCTCTGCAATTGACTGATTCGAACTTGAGAAAAAACAAACGGACACGGATTTCGGTGAACCAAGGAACCTTCGCAGGAATGGCTACGGTTCAGATTTGGTACGCCTGCAATTTGCGAATTGCAATGGATTGGTAGGTAGGTAATGTTTTCAGATCTGGAAGATCTCCAATCAAAGCTTCTGGACACTGCTCTCAAAGTTCTTTTTTTAATTCCTTTGATCTAGCTTCAAGATTGTGGGACACCCCATTGAGTTGTTCAAATGACATATTGGCAAAATGGCCACGATTTCTCGGAATGTGTTGGTCGATGTTGGTTGGTAATATGGTATATCATACCTTTTTGGATCTTTTTGGTACCTTGCTGTCCGTTGGAGCCTTCTCTTCAACTCTGTCAGTTGCTCACTCTTGCAACTGGACTTACTGCACTACTGAATGCACGATATTGCACGATTGCAGTCCGAATGCATTCAACATATTCAACGAACTTAACGAACATGTACATACTTTTGTTCTCGCTTGTTCTCTCTTGTTATCTTTTGTTATCTCTTGTTCATTCATTCATATTCATTCGTTGATCCAGATTTTAAGGCACTCCACTCGCGCAGTTATTTAACCCAATCATGCATATGTCGCTTCCTTTATCACGCACTCAATCACTCACTGCCTCATGCAAGAATGCATGCATCCATTGCGCAAACCATTACTAGTCGATTCTTTCACTGGACTCCCTCATTAAGAGGAATTCCTCTTTCTGGCACCACTCACTTTTGCGATCATGCAATTACATATCACATATCTCTATATATTGGTGAAAGACTTGCTCACCAATCACTCATTCAATCAGACTCAAGCATGCACTGGTGCACGCCTTCAACGGACAATCAATCAGTCTTGGACTGCATCGAGTCCTGTATCACCTTTGAAGAAGGCTGAAAGTCATTGATAGTGTCACTCCTAAACTTGAAAAGCCCCTTGAGACAGCTTCCCTTAGGCTCCTTGAGGCTCCTTGAGGCTCTTTGTTGGTTGATTGCTTAAAGCCTTCCTGGCAGGCTATGGACAGTTCTCAAGCAATAAGATTTGCATCACAGCCGGAGGTCAGCTGTGGGATGACACGTGGGGTTGGTAGAACAGACAAGCAACGAGAATCACAGAAGCCTGGACTTGGTCAATTGACTGTATTTGATTGATTTTGATGAGAAGAATTGACGAAACAAGCTTGAAGTCCGGCAGGGCTATGGCGTGCTGCTTATTTCAGCCCTTTTGCCGTTGGGGACGCTGCAGTCAGTGGTGCAAGCAGTTGGGGCCTCTCAGCACTGTCTGCAAGATCGATCTTTTTCAATCGGATCAAAGCAGTAGCTGTGCAAAGATCAATACTGTTGTTCGCTTTTGGTCTTTCCACTGAGATCAAACGACAGCAAAGTGCTGCAGTTGTTCTTGCTTTTGATGGCACCCTGCTTCTTGGAGAGGAGTGCCGGAAGCTTCCGTCACCAGAGTAGTTTGAAAAGCTGCCCGTCTACAAGTGTGTCAATCACCAATACCAGGTGCAATAATATATATTAATAACATAACATAACAACATAATATATATATATATTATATTATGATATAATATAATGTAATATGATATGATATGATGTGCTATGATATGATATGATATGATATGATATGATATAAAATAATACAATACAATATGATATGATTTGATATAATGTAATATAATACAATATAATGATGTTTTCTATCATATTATATTACAATATATTATATTGAATTATGTTATATTATATCATATTATATTCAATTATATTGCTTTATAACATATTAATTATATGATATGACATTGAATGGTATTATATTATATCATAATTCATTATATTGAATTATATTGAATGATATATTATAGGATACTATATTATATTATATTGTATTGAACAATATAAAATGATATAATTATCACTAGTATATAATATAAAATAAATTCATATAATATAATACAATATGATATAATATTATATAATTATGTAATGTAATGTAATGTAATGTGATGTAATATCCTACGCACATATATATATATATATTATACATAATATGTATTATCGTACATATACTCTACGCGTTCACTGGTATTTGGGAGGTTGGAGGCTTTGAAAGGAGATGTGATTCCCAGGTTCAGCTTGGATACAGTTGCGATATTGCTTACGTTGCTATTAACATTTGCAGTTAATTTTGGATGTATATATATATATGTTCCTGCACGTCATTGATGAGGAAATTGCAAAAGTTCCATATTGTTGTTACTGTATAATATCTCACCAGTAGATTTTATTACCTCTTTGTCCAATGTAGACTTTGTCACAGATGGGCGATTTTCCTTCCCATCTTCAGGTAGTATTGTTTGATTTGTTCTTTTGGCTTCCCAATCATATTGAATGTATCCTCCTATGACAGATAAGGGTGATCAAGAACACATTACTTCTAGACAAAAACGTTGCACTTTTCCCCCCAAAACAAAATGCAGAGAGCTCTTTGTTTAATTAAAACACGTAAGATAACTATTTTGATAGATACATAGTTCATAGAATACAGGAGTCTTAAGTCTGAGAATTTTTTGTAGATTATGAGAAACACTATTTTCGAAAGAATCTGAATCCTTGTATATCTGTAGTATTTCCTCGAGTACCTTGTTGTGACAGCACCATCTCTATCATCTCTATAATCTCTATAATCTCTATAATCTCTATAATCTCTATCATCTCTATCATCTCTATCATCTCTATCATCTCTATCATCTCTATCACCTCCATCATCTCCATCATCTCCATGACCTCTATGACCTCTATGACCTCTATGACCTCTATGACCTCTATGACCTCTATGACCTCTATGACCTCTATGACCTCTATGACCTCTATGACCTCTATGACCTCTATGACCTCTATGACCTCTATGACCTCTATCATCATCACCATCATCACCATCATCACAATCACCAACAACAACATCAACAACATCATCTTTTTCCCCCAGCAGCGCAAGCTAATGGGGTCTTCAGCCCAGAATAGCTCCGGTGTGCACTGGTGCAGAGCCAGGTCAGGTTCAACAGGGCTCCGAGAAGGTTCCAGAGAAGGTCTGGGAGGCTTTGGTGCAGACCCAGGTCAGGTTCAACAGGGTTCCGGAGAAGGTTCGGGAGAAGGTCTGGGAAGCCTTGGTGCAGAGCCAGGTCAGGTTCAAGAGGGTTCCGGAGAAGGTTTCGGGAAAGGCCTGGGAGGCTTTGGTGCAGAGCCAGGTCAGGTTCAGACTTTGGTCAACAGGTTTCTGGAGAAGGTTCCGGAGAAGGTCTGGGAGGCTTTGGTGCAGGTCTGGGAGGCTTTGGTGCAGAGCCAGGTTAGGTTCAACAGGGTTTCGGAGATGTTTGTCTTCTTGCGTTGATGCCTTCTTTCATGCAGCTGCAGAAGCTGAGAAGTTTGGACAGAACCTTGCTTTGCCACTGAGCAGAGAAGTCGCAACAGAGCTGTGCATTGTGTTGGCTGCTACAAACATTGCCGTTCCCTACCAGCAGAAGACATATGCCTCGGATGCCCCTCTTGGACTTGGCTTAGTTGTTTCAACCACTGTAAGCTTGCGCACCTGAAGCTATTTGGCTGGGAAGCGACAAGAGGGGTGCCACTCCAAACTTGATGGTCCTGAGCTTTCCCTACTGAATGCGGCTGGTGAGGAGATCCATGAGTCTGCCCTCAACTGCAGTGGAGAAGACCCGGGGCATCCTGCTAAATCTCCCCTCCTTTACTTTGACTTTGTGGAGTTTTTCGGAAGATCAGGAAGGGTGTGTCATTGTGTCAAGGAGTTAGGGCATTCAATGGCACCGCCTTGGATTTGTCTGCGTCGAGGCACTATGACTTGTCAGAGCCGCAGCTGCTTGAGTGGTGCCTCCACATGATTGAGCAGAAGAGGTTTCGATCCTTTTTGTCTGAACCTCCCTGCACCACATTCAGCCCGGCAGCTCATCCAGCTGTGCGCTGCTACGAGATCCCCGAGGGGTTTAACCTGTCCTGCCCAAAAACCCATCAAGGCAATTTCCTCTGCAACAGGTCTTTCGTCCTTCTGAAGCATGTCCGGCATCATGGAGTTCCATGCGGAAAGAAGCAACCGCGTTTGGCATGGAGAAGGGCCTGGAAGAGTTCGCTTCGTGATGGTTTTGAGGAAAGCGCGTGTGCATCTTGCCCCATTGGATCGCCCCACAAGAAGGAGTTCAGAGTGATCACCTACCTTCTTGATCACATTGGGTTTGGTGCCCGATGCCCAGGTGGACACAGCCATATCAAGATGGAGGGCGCTCTGACCAAGGGGTCTGCTGTGTACGTGTAGGGCCTCGCAGCCCATTTTGCAAAGTTTTTCTCAAGGGCCATCAGGCGAGTCTATGCGGAGGAGAACAAAGCAGCTGCAGTTGTTGGTCATGAGAGCATCCCTCTGAATGACGCACTGTCCGCTTCAGACTGGTCTCTTGACAAGTGTTGAGCATGGAGGTGGAAAAGCCGCATCAATGTCCTTGAGGGCCATGGAGGTGTCTCGATTTTGTCCCTAGCAGCAGTTCAGATCCCAGACTCGCGTTTCAACCGCTGGCTTGACTCCAGGGTAGCCAAGGGCGCTTTAGCCAAGGGCAGAAGTTCATCTAGAGCCTTGCAACCTGTCTGCAAGCGGGCAGCAGCCTTGCAACTGCAAATGGCCTTTGGACCTTACCCTGGATGGGGTTTTGCACCCACGCGTTTGAATCTGGCAGATGATCCAACACGCAGAGTTGAGATCCGGCCCCCAGTGTCTCACTCTCTCCCTCTTTGAGGCAGACATGATTCAGGGGAGTTCATGCTGTTGGTTTGCCTCGCTGGTCGTCAAAATAGGGACAGGCTGTCCTTGTTCTGCATCCTGCTTGAACCCCGCGGTGTTTCTGGTTTGGATCTGGATTTATACCAGAACATCCCATCTTTGGCTCAGCCGCTGTGGAATTTCCTGTGCTTTGGAGTCTCTTGGATTTACTCTCTTTTGCAAGTCTCCACTTGGCTCATCCTGCAGGAATCATACCCACTCCTGGCCTGTATCCTCCTTGTCTGCTTGCCACCCTTTCCAGTTTTAGCAACGTCCAGTGTCCCAGGTCTAGGAGTAGCTGCCCAAGGTTTAGATGGATTTTGTGGTGATGTTTTGGATTTCCGGGGGTGTCAGCCATGAAGCCTTGCACCGTTGCGGGGCGCTTGCGGGCGCAGGCACGGGGTGGAGTCTCACCAGGGTAGCACGGCAGCAGACCCTAGACGACTTTTCTGTCTGGCTCTACACGAGGCACGGTGTCATGCTGCAACAGATACTGACGGCAAAACAACCTGACCCGGAGGAGATTCACGCTGGCTTGTTGCACATGGGCAGGAGATGTATCTATAGCGGGAAAAGCCTATGGCAAATATGCGGAAACCATCAATAGTATAGCCAATTGTAGACCAATTTTGTAGAAGCAGCTTGGGACAGCTTGGGATTTAGCATTTGCCTGGCTTGCTGATGAGCCAGGTCAACCATCCTGCACTGCCTCTTTCAATATTACTAGCATTGGTTGCGACTGCACTCATGTGGGGCTGGCCATTCGAGGCATCAATTCTGAGCCTCACATGGGCTGGTATCCTCAGAATTGGAGAAGTGCTGAGCAGATCGCTCTGACCTTTTTCTTCTTCCTGATATGGCCCCAGGAACTGCTTTCGCCTTGCTTCGCATCAAATACCCCAAGACGAGGGGACGAGCTGCGAGGCATCAAGCGGCGCGAGTCGATCCACCTGACGTTGTTGCGCTTCTGAACGCTGTATTCAAAAGAACCAATCCAGATCAGAAACTATGGCCTCTGCAGCTACACTGCGGAAGCGGCTTGCAGCCCTGCTTGCTACGTTTGGCCTGGCAACCGAGAAATGTCAGGGAAAACGGCTTTTCTCTCTCGGATCATTAGGACCAGGAGGTGCCACACACCTCCTCCTCCTCCTCCTGACAGAGGATTCTGAGCTGGTCCGTCAAAGAGGGCGGTGGGTGACCACAAAGGTAATGGAGCTGTACCTGCAAGAAGTGCTGTACGCTACCTACTACTATCTCCGCTGAGAAACTTGCTGGCCAGGCCCGCCAAAGGATCCAAGACCTAGCAGGTTCATTCCTTTGCAGAAAGCCATCAGTTTTCTCGAGAATGCGGTGCCGGTGAGGGTCTGGTATCAACTCTTTCAGGCTGAAGACAGCAAGGAGCTTGGAAAGAAATGGGATGGATGGGGCACAAGAGCACACGCTTTTGTCACCAAAAATGGCGCCGCTGAGCAGAACATCTATGCAACGCAGTGAAAAGAGCAGCCAGCAGTGCACCATGCTTGACTTCAAGCTTGGAAACGAATGTCCCTTTGAACTCTCTTGCTCTCCCACCTCAGCACTAAAAGGCCCGCTCTTGCCTGGGTACAAGAACACCAGCTTTTGTCCCCAAAAATAGCGACGCTGGAGCGGAACATCTATGCAACACAGTGAAAAGACCAACCAGAAGTGCACCATGCTTATGTATGTATGTATGTATGTATGTCTGTGTGTGTGTATGTATGTATGTATGTATGTAATGTATGTAATGTATGTAATGTATGTAATGTATGTAATGTATGTAATGTATGTAATGTATGTAATGTGATGTAATGTATGTATGTATGTCCTGTATGTATGTATGTATGTATGTATGTATGTATGTATGTATGTATGTATGTATGTATGTATGTATGTATGTATGTATGTATGTATGTATGTATGTATGTAACGTATGTATGTAACGTATGTATGTAACGTATGTATGTAACGTATGTATGTAACGTATGTATGTATGTATGTATGTATGTATGTATGTATGTATGTATGTATGTATGTATGTATGTATGTATGTATGTATGTATGTATGTATGTATGTATGTATGTATGTATGTATGTGTGTGTATGTATGTATGTATGTATGTATGTATGTATGTATGTATGTATGTATGTAAGTATGTAATGTATGTAATGTATGTAATGTATGTAATGTATGTAATGTATGTAATGTATGTAATGTATGTAATGTATGTTATGTATGTTATGTATGTTATGTATGTTATGTATGTTATGTATGTTATGTATGTTATGTATGTGATGTATGTTATGTATGTTATGTATGTTATGTATGTTATGTGTGTTATGTGTGTTATGTATGTTATGTATGTTATGTATGTTATGTATGTTATGTATGTTATGTACGTTATGTATGTTATGTATGTTATGTATGTTATGTATGTTATGTATGTTATGTATGTAACGTATGTAATGTATGTAATGTATGTCATGTATGTAATGTATGTAATGTATGTAATGTATGTAATGTATGTAATGTATGTAATGTATGTAATGTATGTAATGTATGTAATGTATGTAATGTATGTAATGTATGTAATGTATGTAATGTATGTAATGTATGAAATGTATGTAATGTATGTAATGTATGTAATGTATGTAATGTATGTAATGTATGTAATGTATGTAATGTATGTAATGTATGTAATCTATGTAATCTATGTAATCTATGTAATCTATGTAATCTATGTAATCTATGTAATCTATGTAATCTATGTAATGTATGTAATGTATGTAATGTATGTAATGTATGTAATGTATGTAATGTATGTAATGTATGTAATGTATGTAATGTAAGTAATGTATGTAATGTATGTAATGTATGTAATGTATGTAATGTATGTAATGTATGTAATGTATGTAATGTATGTCATGTATGTCATGTATGTCATGTATGTCATGTATGTCATGTATGTCATGTATGTCATGTATGTCATGTATGTCATGTATGTATGTATAATGTAATGTATGTATAATGTAATGTAATGTAATGTATTGTATTGTATTGTATTGTATGTATGTATGTATGGGATGTATGGCATGAATGGTATGTATCGTATGTCGGATATGTATGGTATGTCTGGTATTTATGGTATGTATGGTATGCATGGTATGCATGGAATGCATGTTGTTCATGGTATGCATGGTATGTATGGTATGTACGTTATGTATGTGATGCATGTGATGCATGTGATGCATGTGGTGTATGTTGTGTATGTTGTGTATGTTGTGTATGTTTTGTATGTTGTTCATGTTAAGCATGTTATGTATGTTATGTATGTATGCTATGTATGTTCTGTATGTGTTGCATGTTATGTATGTATTGTATGTATTGGTATGCAGTGGTATGCAATGGTTTGCAACGGTATGCTATGGTATGCAATGGTATGCAATGGTATGCAACGGTATGCAACGGTGAGCAATGGACCGCAATGGTGTGCAATGGAGCGCAGTGGAACGCAATGGAGCGCAATGGAGGGCAATGGAGCGCAATGTAGCGCAATGGAACGCAATGGAACGCAATGGAACACATTGGAACGCAATGGAACGCAATGGCACGCAATGGAACGCAATGGAACGCAATGGAACGCAATGTAATGGTAGGTAATGGAATGTAATGTATGTAATGGATGTAATCTATGTAATGCAATGCAATGTATGAAGTGTATGTAATGGATGTAATGTATGTAATGTAATGCAATGTATGAAGTGTATGTAATGTATGTAATGTATGTAGTGTATGTTTGTAATGTAATGTAATGTAATGTAATGCAATGCAATGCAATGCAATGCAATGCAATGCAATGCATGTATGTATGTATGTACGTATGTGTGTAAGGTATGTAAGGTATGTATGTATGTAGGTAGGTAGGTAGGTATGTATTTTATGTTATGTTATGTTATGTTTTTGTATGTAATGTATGTAATGTATGTGGTGTATGTAATGTTTGTAATGTATGTAATGTAATGAATGTACTGTAATTAATGTAATTTATGTAATAAATGTAATTAATGTAACTAATGTCTGTTTGTATTTATGCAGGTAGGTATGTATGTATGCATATAATGTAATGACATGCAATCTAATGCTATGCTATGCAAGGTAATGTAATGTCATGAAGTGTATAATGTACATGTACATGTACATATACATGTATATGTAAATGTTAATGTTAACTGTCAATGTGAATGATTAAAATCAATCTCAATGTCATATAATATGAGTGTATTTTGGATGTATCTACATGTAAATTCAAATGCTACAGAAAGTAATGTAGTGTCTGCATCCAGACACACATACATAATCATAAATTACATATGTAACATAATTACATGTGTGTCTGCATATGTTCAAATCAAGCAGAAACATGTTTCGGATGGAACCAAAAAAGCAGGACCTGGAGCAGCGCAAACAATTCTTGGAAGAGCCTCGTGGCTGCAAATTTCTGCCCTCAGGCCATTCTCAGGCCATTCTCAGGCCATTCTACCCTTTTTATGTTTTTACCCTTGAATCTAGACTTGATATGACTCGAAATGACTCGGTTGCCAGTCAGGTGCAACTATGTCTTTCCGTACAATCCCAGCTACACTGTGTGGCGGCCCGGTAATCCATTCGAAATCAACGAAGGCCATTTGTTTGATCGAAATCAGATTCTTCGTGTTGGGAAACACAGCATTTGAGCATTTCGAACATATCGCATCAGTTCTACTGCAGTGAACTGTGATACGCTCAGGGCCTTGCTGCGATTCTGGCGCGGTTTGATGTCACTCATGTGGACAAAGGGCTCGCCTGTGTGCCATGCACCAGTCACAAAAAGGAGTGGTTTTGAGATGCAAATAATTCTGCAAATGGAAACGAATGGTTGTCAAAGCTTTTCCCTAGCCACTGGAGAAAATCAAAAATAGAGAAAAATGAGGTGACCAATACCGCAATGGATGCTCACGGAAATAAATGAGAGTTGCAAGTCGGTCAATATTGCAGTACAACTTTGATGCGTGTCTAAGTGTGGCAGCTGAAAACACACAAGTGACACTACTAGGACTTCCTGGACGATGTTCTTGGAGTCTTGGAGAAAGGACAGGGCAGCATACTATGCAGTGTGACACCAGGATCCAGCAGGATCCAGCAGGATCCAGCAGGATCTTGGAGAGTGAACCAAACATTTGTGTGACGGCAGTCAACATGTTCGAACTCAGAACTACCCCCTTCTCTCTCTCGTTGATATGGAGGCGCTGCAAGTGTCGGAGACAAAAGCAGCACTTAAAAAGATGTGTTTCTTGGCAGAAAATGTGGTGCAAGCAGTGCAAGCATAGCTGGATGGTTTCTTCGAAGGCATTTCAAAGAAACAAATTGTGTGACCTCAGGCCTTGTCCCATGATCGCGTTTTTTGAGCGAGCTTGCACACCACTAAGTGGAGCTGGCAAGCAATTTTGGCGTCAAGCGGACAAGTCGTCCTTTTGACTAACAGAAAAGCCGAAAGGATATCTTTTGTGCATTTTTGTGCCTGAGTTGAGGGCAGTGTGCAGTGGTTTCAGCTAGTCTTGATGGTAGTGCAGCATTTGAACTGACGCACTGCTTTCCCCAGTCACAAAGGGCAGCTTTTCTACATCTTCTACATGTTGGCTCGGTCTTTCCAAATTCTTCGATTCTGATTCAGTTTCATGGCAGAACCTGATTTTCCAAAGACATACCACCACAGCCAACCTGTACAAGATTCTGGTCCAAGACCACATATCATAGAAACACGTGTGTCATTCATGCGTGTTCTATGCTTGAAGGCAAATGCACCCTTTTTTCTACATATTAAGTTATTTTATTTCAGTTTGACCTTAAAGGTCAGCACCTGAATCAATGCGGGAGGAAACAGCTTCAAAGACTTGGCATATCTTGGCTTGCATTTTGCTCATGTTGAGTGACTCGAGCTTGAGTTCCGAAAGTCAATGCCAGAGTATAATATAACACGTGTTGTGGCTTCAGAGCAAAAGTGCTTTCAGAGTACGTTAAAGATCAGTAGAGTCCTCCATGGTTTCGTGTCAATAACAGTTTAGCAGTCCACCATTTGCTTTCTTAGTTTTTTTGACACATTCAGCTGTTGTTTAGCTTAGGAGTCTGTCAAACTGGGCCACATTAGCACACTGGTAGTTCACATCTACGAAACTGGAAGGTGAGGATTGGCAAATATCAGGGATGTGGGGCTTCTTTCCAAGTGACATACGCTGAGCAACTGTGTGTTTGAAACAGCACCATGTCAAGCCAGCAAAGATATGCCGAGAGAGGCACGGTATGACTTGTTGGTCTTGTGTTTTGGAAGCAGAGAGGCAAGACATGGCAATACACAAAAGAAAGAAGTGATCCCAGAAGCTACGCCTTGTTTTGATTCGCTGTGTCCACTGCCTTAGGAGTTGTTGACCCCGACTTTGTCAACATAGAAGTAGATGTGGTCAAGGCAAGGATGGCAAGGATGGCAAGGATGAAACAGGTCAGAGAAATCGAACTCAGATTTGGTGTCCAAAGAGTCATAAAGAGTCCAAAATGCTTTCAGGAGCCCGCTGAATTGTTCAAGGGAGAGCCAGTCGGTCCGGTGACTTGGAAACAGTCCGTAGCAGTCCGTAGATGCCAATCTCCACAGACATGCCGGCTTTTTAGGCGTCTACCCATGTCCCCTCTTGTTAACTACCGTGCACTACCGTGCTGAACATGAATCTGCAGGCCTTCCACTTCCCAACAGATTGGGAAAGGAAGATCCAGGCGGCATGTTTCGACTTCTGAATTTGGGCAATTTCAGCAATTTCTTCCTTGTTGAAGCAGGGCTCGAAGTGGACAATGAGCTGAAAGCAGACAACAATGAGAACAGAGCTCAGTTATGCTCAGTTCATCTTCTCTGCATTGGCAGCTCCTGACGACCACTTTCATTTGCTGCCTTGTAGACCTGTGGCTTCACTCATACTCAGATTGTCTGGTTTCTGTGCAATGTTATCCGATATCATGTTGTGCAATGTCATGAAATGACATGTTATGTATTAATCTTATGTCATGGCAATATTCTGTCATGCAATGTTATGCAATGCTCTGTAATATGTTTTTGCATGGTTTTGTATCGTTATGATGTATGTCTATGTCTATATTTATATAGATACGATGATATACGTGTGTGTTGGTACATACGTATGATCCTCGTCTTCTCAAATCCACCTACCACCACCCGCACGAGACCACACAGCAGATCTGTGTACATAAATATTCCAGTTATGGAGCCTAAAGCACCGAAAATTCTCTGAGTCTACCTGTCGGGAAGTTCTGTTCGCCCGTTGCCAGTTTGCCTCTTTCAGATTCTTTCAGCTTGTACAGTGATGTACAGTGAGTAGTACAGTGTATGCATCGCTGAAATCTGAGGCCTTCAGATGCAGATCTCGTGCTTTCCGCTCGGACCGGTCACCGAAGTTATGCATCAAACTTCAAGCACACATTTCACAGCAGTTGGAAAACGAGTGAAAACTGCATTCACAATTATTTCGTTTTCGTGTGGTTTGCTGTTTCACTGAGCTTTTTGCAGGAAGGTTTCCATGCTTTCAATCTTTATTTCGCTGGTTGGAAGCTCACATCGGCTACGAGAAAGTCACGGGTCGTACAGTGGTCGTACTTGGAGTAAAGTTAGTTCAGATAGGACAGTTAGTTGTTCTGTACTATCGAGTCATTCATCGAGTCAGCCTATGAGGTGCTGGCAATTCTTGGCTTTAGCATAGGCTTGTCCGAAAATGTGCGAGACTGAGAACAGAAGTGTTCTGAACTGCGAAGCAAACAACCTGAAAAGATGTGAAGGATTTGAAGATATTTGAAGATATTTGAGGGATTCGTGCATTTCCACCCGGTAGTCTACACAGGTCCTGTCTGTTCTGGGCTTTGGCATGGAGGTACAGAGCGGATTTTTTGTGGCGGTTTCAGCCGGCGCCAATCCTTTTTTTGCGATTCGGTGCCTGCTTATGCGAAACCTAGCTCTTTCCTGCCTGAACAAACACATATGTGTGCTATTCCTGAGCCTTTGTTTGGCCGACCATTTCGATGCAGATTTTGATATTGCACGAAACGCTGGCCTTACAAGTAATAAAGTAAAGAGCGGCAAAGGTGAGTGTGAGGGTTTGCTCTAGCCCTCTGTTATCTTAGAGATTGTTTCATTTCTGGACTTTCTGTCCATGGTTCAATCTATTCCAACCGTCGTCACGGCCCAACCTGGAAGTGCAATGCCACAGGGGCTGTACGCTGCCGGACGTTTGCCAGGCCACTTTGGATGGGATTTCCTCTGCCCTTGTGATGTGGCGGTTTAAGACTCTCGGCAGAACTTTGGGCAGTGACGCTTCACTTCTAGACTCGAGCACAAGCCAGCAGCACTTAACGAGCTAGTTGCTTGTGCTTGACCAACCGTTTGCCTCAAAGTTGGTGATGTATTAGCTCAGTGGATTGCGTGTGAACGGTTTGAGTGCCACTTTGGGTACGCTAAAAATTGGCCAAGCTGGCAGTTGACCCGAGGACTCCCAAACAGCGTCAATTCCGAGCTTGAGACCTCAGTGGGGATCTGCCGGGTCTGAGACACGTGGCCAACTAGACAGATAAACGCGGTGCTTCAGCATGTTTGAAGATTCTGTAGCATTCTTCAAAATTCTCCAATCCTCTCCTCCAACATCATAAAGTAAAGTTCCTCTCAGAAAATTGGTGGGGATCACCAGCCTCAGCTTGTCAGAACTGGAGGATGCGGAGGCTGCTGCCATAGCCAAAGAAGCCAGAGATGCGAGGTACAGATTCGCAGAGTTCGCAGGTCCATTCGAGCAACACTCGAGGTAGATACATCATGCATTCGAGCAACACTCGAGGTAGATACATCATGTACAATATATATATATATATCATATCATATATATATATATGTATATATATATATATCATATTCAGCACTTGAATTCTGAGCTGCAAGACAAACTTTCTTTGTCGAAGGAAATGCTGCCATTGATGCACTGATATTTTTCTGTATATAGAAGACCTATTAATTACTAGAAACATCTGGAATTCCAGGGTTTTGAGAGGATCTGGAATGTGAAATGTAGACTTTGACATATTCTCATCCTGTCCGACCTGTGATGGCTGTTTGCAGGCGAGAGCGAAATAGCGCAGTTGGCATCGGAGCCACCTTTGTTGTCTCTGCTGTCGTGCTCTGTCTCTCTTCTGTTGGGCACCAAGTCATGGGTTCCTCTTCTTGCTATAACTGCTATTTTTTAAAGCAGCTCGTTCTGGGTTGATTCGCACGCATTTGAGTCGCATGTAAGGCTCAAGCAAAGGAATGAATCGGAAGGAATGATCGTCAAGCGCAGACAGCGAAAGTCCAAAGTCGAAGACATGATCAGTTTCAGCTTTCAGTCTAGGACCTATAGGAGCTTGGAGTGTTCAAATTGTTAGAAGATCTAGAAGAGTTCTGTGCTACCGGGATAGTTGGTCACCTTAGCTTTGCTGATGGCCGAGAGCCTGCAAAGCCCAGTGGATGCAGTTGATTCCAATGCGCTTGAGCTGGTGGATAGGGCTTCTGCAGCAGCAGCAAAGGGGGAGCTGCTGGCCGCTGGGCTCTAGTGTCACTTTTGGAATTCCCTTGAGTTTACGTATAAGTCTCCTTCGTGTCGCAGAACACATGTGAACTTTGTCCAGCATGATACAGTATGACCGTATGACCCTTCTCTTGACTTGAATGGCAAGGTGATCCTGGACTTTGACCGGACTCTGACCAGTTCCTTCTCTGCACGCATTAAGGGGGGCTTTTTTCATTGACAGTTATCATGCTGTGGGACTAAAATGTCAAGTCATGTTTCGATCCCCCCGAGCCCCGAGCCTTGATAAGAACCACGATTTATTGTCAATGCAAATTGGCGTCCATACCCGACCCAATGCTTGGAGGTAATTTCATGCCGGATGGACAGCGCGTCACATCTGCGCATGGCATCTTAGAGGTTGCAAGTGTTTTGTCGGAGACTTTCAAGTCCAAAGCACAAGAGCTTTTCCGATCCTCGTCTGCGAATGTCTGCGATCTGGTGCTGCGTCTCAGTCGAATGTACCGATTGGCACATAAACAAAACAATTGCAGGAAGGAAATACTGGCCGGAATTGCTGTCAACTAAAGTAATTAGATGAACCTTTTATTCAAGCTTAATTTTTATGTCAGCCTCGCTGATTTGGAAGTCTTGCGCCATGGCAACACAAAGCCCTTCAAGGAAAGTACTACCCGATTGAAATCGACGAGAAGATGCGTTTGCCTCAGCTGACTCAGCAGCCTAAGCGTTTCCTCGTGGGAACTTGCTGCTCTGGCTGCGACAGCTACAGCGAGCAGAGAAGGCACCAGGTAATCCATGGTAATCCAGGTAATCGAAGAATTGATCTTTTGAGTTGCCTGATTTAGGCCTATTGATGAGAAGGCCAGAGCTGTGGTGTTGCAAAGTCACTGGAGGGGTGCGCGGCTGTGGCCATGTGAATACCCCAGGTGACCATGAATTGAAGCTTCAGTGATGGTCATGTAAACAGCGGTTGATTGGTACTATGATTATGCCTATAGCTCGGAGACTCAACCGTCAAGCCGAAGTGTGGAGCGAGTTGTTCACTACCCAGCCGTGTTCTTTTTGTTTGTCAACAGCCTCGGCGAATTCAGCCAGGTGCCGATTATGCATAAATGGTATGGTCAAGTGCATGAGCTGATCATGAAAGAAAACGTTACTTGGCGGCATTTGGTCTCTGGAGCCTCGCCTCTGGAGCTTCTGGAGCCTCCGGAGCCTCTGGAGCGTTCAGTCCCCGTAGCCTTTCAGATCTTTCAGATCTTTCAGCATCCGATCCTTTCAGCGTCTGAGGCTTCGAGCCTTGTTTCGTTTTATCGTTTGCGTGTGTGGATTTCTCAGGTCACCAAAGACAACATCGCAGGGGCCGTCTCCAGCTGCAAAACCATCCGACTACGCGATGGAATGCTGGACTTCTTGCAGAGCTGTCAGTCACATGATCCGGTCATCCCAGTGAGCCTTGCCATGCCGAGGGTCCCCCAACAAAATGTTTTTCCCCAACAGCGTAAGCTAATGGGGCCTTCAGCCCAGAATAGTTCCGGTGTGCACTGGTGCAGGCACCGGGTCAGGTTCAACAAGGTTCCGGAAAAGGTTCCGAAGGTTCCGGAGAAGGTCTGTGAGGCTTTGGTGCAGAGCCAGGTCAGGTTCAAAAGGGCAGGGGGTCACGGCCTCGCGTGCGCACGCGCATGTCGGTCTCGCGTGCGCACGCGCATGCTGGTCTCGCACGCGCACGCGCACTAATTGCACGCCTATTTTTTCTCGCGCAGGTCAACGAAAATGACGTCTCGGCTGCGGCTCGCCTGCGCACGCTGTGCGGCTCGCCTGCGCACGCTGTTGCTGGTCTGGGACCTTGCAGATGTAAGGCTCCCTTCTCCTCTAAAATAGAGGGAGGAGCTCCGTGTCAAGGCTCCCTTCTCCTCTAAAATAGAGGCGCAACGACAAAGAGCCTCTGTTCTCCTTTAAAATAGAGGCATTCCGTCCTCCGCGACAGAGACTCCGTTCTGCTGTAAAATAGAGGCAGTAGCTCAATTTGACGGCTCCCTTCTCCTCTAAAATAGAGGCAGTAGCGCTGCTTGAAGGCTTCGTTCTCCACTAAACTAGTCCAGAGATTCCTTTCTGCTTTAAAATAGAGGCAGCAGCTCCTCCCTTCTCCTGTAAAATAGAGGGAGGAGCTCCGTGTCAAGGCTCCCTTCTCCTCTAAAATAGAGGCGCAACGACAAAGAGCCTCTGTTCTCCTTTAAAATAGAGGCATTCCGTCCTCCGCGACAGAGATTCCGTTCTGCTCTAAAATAGAGGCAGTAGCTCCTCTAAACTTGTCCAGAGATTCCGTTCTGCTTTAAAATAGAGGCAGTAGCTCCTCCCTTCTCCTCTAAAATAGAGGGAGGAGCTCCGTGTCAAGGCTCCCTTCTCCTTTAAAACAGAGGCGCAACGACAAAGAGCCTCTGTTCTCCTCTAAAATAGACAGGCATTAAGAGGCAGCAGCTCCTCCCTTCTCCTCTAAAATAGAGGCGCAACGACAAAGAGCCTCTGTTCTCCTCTAAAATAGAGGTATTCCGTCCTCCGCGACAGAGATTCCGTTCTGCTCTAAAATAGAGGCAGCTATAGCTCAGGTGGACGGCTCCCTTCTCCCCTAAAATAGAGGCCGTCGCTCTGTTTGAAGGCTTTGTTCTCCTCTAAACGAGTCCAGAGATTCCGTTCTGCTTTAAAATAGAGGCAGTAGCTCCTCCCTTCTCCTCTAAAATAGAGGGAGGAGCTCCGTGTCAAGGCTCCCTTCTCCTCTAAAATAGAGGCGCAACGACAAAGAGCCTCTGTTCTCCGCTAAAATAGAGGCATTAAGAGGCAGCAGCTCCTCCCTTCTCCTCTAAAATAAAGGGAGGAGCTCCGTGTCAAGGCTCCCTTCTCCTCTAAAATAGAGGCGCAACGACAAAGAGCCTCTGTTCTCCTTTAAAATAGAGGCATTCCGTCCTCCGCGACAGAGTTTCCGTTCTGCTCTAAAATAGAGGCAGTAGCTCTGTTTGAAGGCTTCGTTCTCCTCTAAACTTGTCCAGAGATTCCGTTCTGCTTTAAAATAGATGCAGTAGCTCCTCCCTTCTCCTCTAAAATAGAGGGAGGAGCTCCGTGTCAAGGCTCCCTTCTCCTCTAAAAGAGAGGCGCAACGACAAAGAGCCTCTGTTCTCCTCTAAAATAGAGGCATTAGCTCAGTTTGACGGCTCCCTTCTCCTCTAAAATAAAGGGAGGAGCTCCGTGTCAAGGCTCCCTTCTCCTCTAAAATAGAGGCGCAACGACAAAGAGCCTCTGTTCTCCTTTAAAATAGAGGCATTCCGTCCTCCGCGACAGAGACTCCGTTCTCCTCTAAAATAGAGGCCGTCGCTCTGTTTGAAGGCTTCGTTCTCCTCTAAACGAGTCCAGAGATTCCGTTCTGCTTTAGAATAGAGGCAGTAGCTCCTCCCTTCTCCTCTAAAATAGAGGGAGGAGCTCCGTGTCAAGGCTCCCTTCTCCTCTAAAATAGAGGCGCAACGACAAAGAGCCTCTGTTCTCCTCTAAAATAGAGGCATTAAGAGGCAGCAGCTCCTCCCTTCTCCTCTAAAATAAAAGGAGCTCCGTGTCAAGGCTCCCTTCTCCTCTAAAATAGAGGCGCAACGACAAAGAGCCTCTGTTCTCCTTTAAAATAGAGGCATTCCGTCCTCCGCGACAGAGTTTCCGTTCTGCTCTAAAATAGAGGCAGTAGCTCTGTTTGAAGGCTTCGTTCTCCTCTAAACTTGTCCAGAGATTCCGTTCTGCTTTAAAATAGATGCAGTAGCTCCTCCCTTCTCCTCTAAAATAGAGGGAGGAGCTCCGTGTCAAGGCTCCCTTCTCCTCTAAAATAGAGGCGCAACGACAAAGAGCCTCTGTTCTCCTCTAAAATAAAGGCATTAAGAGGCAGCAGCTCCTCCCTTCTCGTCTAAAATAAAGGGAGGAGCTCCGTGTCAAGGCTCCCTTCTCCTCTAAAATAGAGGCGCAACGACAAAGAGCCTCTGTTCTCCTCTAAAATAGAGGCATTCCATCCTCCGCGACAGAGATTCCGTTCTGCTCTAAGATAGAGGCAGTAGCTCAGTTTGACGGCTCCCTTCTCCTCTAAAATAGAGGCCGTCGCTCTGTTTGAAGGCTTCGTTCTCCTCTAAACTCCAGAGATTCCATTCTGCTTTAAAATAGAGGCAGCAGCTCCTCCCTTCTCCTCTAAAATAGAGGGAGGAGCTCCGTGTCAAGGCTCCCTTCTCCTCTAAAATAGAGGCGTAACGACAAAGAGCCTCTGTTCTCCCCTAAAATAGAGGCATTCCGTCCTCCGCGACAGAGATTCCGTTCTGCTCTAAAATAGAGCCAGTAGCGTAGTTTGCGGGCTCCCTTCTCCTCTAAAATAGAGGCAGTCGAAGGCTCCCTTCTCCTCTAAAATAGAAGCGCAACGACAAAGAGCCTCTGTTCTCCTCTAAAATAGAGGCATTCCGTCCTCCGCGACAGAGACTCCGTTCTGCTCTAAAATAGAGGCAGTAGCTCAGTTTGACGGCTCCCGTCTCCTCTAAAATAGAGGCCGTCGCTCTGTTTGAAGGCTTCGTTCTCCTCTAAACTCGTCCAGAGATTCCGTTCTGCTTTAAAATAGAGGCAGTAGCTCCTCCCTTCTCCTCTAAAATAGAGGGAGGAGCTCCGTGTCAAGGCTCCCTTTCTCTTCTAAAATAGAGGCGCAACGACAAAGAGCCTTTGTTCTCTTCTAAAATAGAGGCATTAAGAGGCAGCAGCTCCTCCCTTCTCCTCTAAAATAAAGGGAGGAGCTCCGTGTCAAGGCTCCCTTCTCCTTTAAAAGAGAGTTGCAAGACAAAGAGCCTCTGGTCTCCTTTAAAAACTAGAGGCATTCCCGTCCCTCGCGCACAGAATTCTCCGTGTCTGCTCTAAAATGAGGCATTAGCTCTGTTTGAAGCTTCGTTCTCCTCTAAACTTGTCCAGCGATTCCTTCTGCTTTAAAATAGAGGCAGTAGCTCCTCCCATAGAGGGGGGCCCGGTCAAGGCTTCCCTTCCCTCTAAAATAGAGGCGTCAAAAACGACAAAGAGCCTCTGTGCTCCTCCAAAATAGAGCATTAAGAGGCAGCAGCTCCTCCCTTCTCCTCTAAAATAGAGGGAGGAGCTCCGTGTCAAGGCTCCCTTCTCCTTTAAAATAGAGGCGCAATGACAAAGAGCCTCTGTTCTCCTCTAAAATAGAGGCATTCTGTCCTCCGC